CACTGGGCGTGGATGGTCGTGGTTGAGGTCCGGCAGGGAACACTGGGTGTGGATGGTCGTGGTTGAGGCCCGGCAGGGAACACTGGGTTGGGATGGTCGTGGTTGAGGTCCGGCAGGGAACACTGGGCGCGGATGGTCGTGGTTGAGGTCTGGCAGGGAACACTGGGCATGGATGGTCGTGGTTGAGGTCCGGCGAGGAGGAGAAGAAGAAGGAGGAGGAGGAGGAGAAGGAGAAGCCAGCTAACATAAAATCTAACAACCCTCACCTGGCAGGTGGGGAAAAACAAAGACAACGTTCAACCTTGGAGACGGAAGTGGAAAAAAACCGTAAAGTGGAGCCAGGGATCCCTGTCTTTGCCTATCGAAAAGCATCAAAACAACAGGGATCTGGACAATTGTGTGTCGAAAACGTCCTTTTCTTAGCTATCGCAAGGCTATCACACGACAAGAAAGAGATTTTCAATTGCAGCTTTGAGCCTCAGATTGAAGTCAGAGGAAATCTGGACGGTTGGAGTCGTGAACAGTTTCTCTGGACAACACGGCCGCAAGGAGAGTTAAACAAGTCTGATCACAACTTTCACAATTTGACAAGGTTCGCTGGCCCAGGCACACTGTGGCCAGCTTTGAGAGAATCCCAAGGGCAAACTGCTTGGAGAATTTGGATGAGTGAGACTTGCGAAGCGGCAGAACTTCTGTCTGTCATGAAGGCCCACCCAAAATCCCACTGTGTACAGGACTCACGCCTATACGCGCATCTCGGGAGGCGCCAAAAGTTGGGCTTGCAAATGACAATCGCAAGCAATTCGGCATTCGTTCCCGGACTACACGGCACTATCTCACTGCGCTTGTCCGAGAGAGGCTTGCAAAGACTTGCGTGTATGTTTGTGCCTTGATTCAGACTAGCTGGATGGCCTGATCCAAAACTAACTCGTGCGAACTGAAAAACGAGCTGAGACGCATCCAGCTTGGTGCCCTACGCCTGCTTGATTCCAAAGGGCCGCATCATCATGATTGGAGGCTGAGTTTTGGTCTAGAATCCGAACTGCATCACTGCATCAATCTGCATCACACGCATCCTCTGGCGGATGCAGCTTCATGGTGCTTTTCCACTTTCAAGAAAGCACCGCCCACAACAATGCAAACGGAATGGCCGTCTTTACAAAGTGCAAGATCTCACAACGAATGAAGATCGTCCTTCAAAGTGTTTCACTTGTTCAGAAATACAAGTTTTGAAAGATGGTGGCTTTTTGGAAAAGGGGACCTTGGAACTGGAAGTCTTAGCTTGGGCCCGGGTTTGGTCCAGGCTTGTCTCCGTTTCCAAACCGCGTTCTCATTGTTCCCATGTGAGCTGACATTCACATCGCTCGAAGCAACGCGCTTTTCACCACACAAAGCAACAGTCGCAAACAAGAAGCTGCAAAGGCTCGCAAGCGAACCTTTGAGAAACTGGGCCCAAAACATGTACGCCTAGGAATTTTACAACCCCGGTGAGTTAGACTCTTAAGTGTCATCCAAGCGAGCTTGCCTTGCATAAAAGGAAAAGAAACGGCGAAGCTATGCCTCCGAACCTTCATGAGACACACCCTGAATGTTGCTCTGTACACGGAAGCCCGGCATCAGCGACCTGATTTGGAGCGAAGGACATGGTCAAAGTGAATATGGAATGAACAAGTGCGCTGCTGCATGCCCATTTGCTCAAACTGAATTCCTGTGGTCATGCTTCAATTACCTGTTTCTTTGAGGGGATTTAGGCGAGGAGGCACACCTAGAAAGAACCGACTCAAACCTTAGAACTTCCGAGTCTGGACAGCTCTCTGCCAGTGCCTCCATTGGAGATCTGGGCGCCTTGATCCTACGCACTGCAACACTGAAATCCGCTGCGCGCGTTGGGAATGGAAGTTGTCTGCTTGGAATGCCGCCCACCAGAGCTTCAGCCAGCCTCGTCCATCATACGTGTCTGAGCAGTGTTCTGCTCAGTTCCTGAAATAGAGATTTGGACACCCCAAATCAGGCTTTGATCTGCCATGCTAGCCAAGTCTCTATGAGGAGGATGAAAAGGCCTCAGCAAAGTGATTCATGGACAAACCCCGGCTCTAAACCGGGTATCCTGGAAACCTGGGTACCTTAAAAGAAGGCTTCCAATCGTGGAATATAAACTCATTCACGATGAACTTGACAAAACCACCAAAGCGTTGTTCGAGGCTGTCTGTGCCGGCTAGGCTCTCTAGGCTCCTAGCGGCACCGGACCTCACAATAACTCGCGAACGGGAGGTTGATTGCAAAGAAGCACGTTTAAGCACTGTCCATTTTGAAAAGGTTAATCTTGCTCTTGCTGTTGCCACTGCTTGATGTTCCTCCTACTGTACCTGCTATTTATAAAAAGTTCTCTGCGCAGAGTTTGGGTGACAGATTTAGCTCCCAGGCACCCAGGCACTTTTTCTTTGGATGTTGTAATTAACAAATTGTTGACGCTACTCTTCTTGTTGTTGTTGTTGCTGTTGCTGTTGTTGTTGTCGTTGTTTTTGGTGGTGGTGGTGGTGGTGGTAGTGGTGGTGTGGAGCACTGACACCAGATCGTACCCACCACAACTCCATAGACATCATATACAACCTTGTTCATGTCCATGTCCAAGCACACTAGGTTATGGGGGAGAATTCACTTGATAGGTTGCGGGTCACCTGACCTGCTTTTGACCAGGTTTTGCCGGTGCGTTCATTACGCAACTTTAGTGGTGAGCGGAAAAGAACGCAGTGGCCACGCTGGGCGGGAGGGCAGCCGCGCGACAATTTGAGCTGAAGTGTAATTTCATATGCTAGCGGAGCCCCGCAAGGAGCAGTAGGATCACAGCACTTCACATTTCTTCAGGTTCTGTTGAACTTTTTCATCCCTAGAGATTGAAGCCATGGCAGAATCTGCAGACCAAGCTGGATCCGCACGCCGCCGAGAACGATCCAGAGATCGCTCGCAGTCAAGAGTGCCTCGTGAGCAGAGCGTGGGTGTTCAGAAAGGGGTGGATCAAACAAGGTTGGAGCCTTTGGAGACACAAGTGAATCAGCTTTCGCAAGCCGAGGTCCCACCATTCAGCAGTTGTTGACCATCTTCAGGGTCCGCATCGTCGAGTGCGCCACCCGATCCTGCTCAGACGCCATTCGCGCCCAATGTCCCACCTGTGCTGCCACATCATCCCGCCACCGCACAGCCCAGGCAGGCGACTCGAACCGAAGTTGGTAATCCAAATATATCATGAACCCACCATCAAGTGTTCCACCTGTTGATCCATGGCAGACTAGTGATCCATGGAGGGATTTATATGCCCCATCTCGAGGAGCTGGCCTTCCAGATCAACCTTTTCCAACGAGCCTGCCACGATCACCGGAGAGTCAAGCCCCGCCGTTCAGCGCCGCATATCAATGCAGAACGATGCCCGCGTGGGTGCGCCAAGTCATGTGCGTGGACCACGTCCCATCACCATCGACCCGCGTCAAGGTTCGATCCAAAAGCATGGTGACGACAATCCTTTCAAGACATCCGAACGGTGGACGCCAAATACGCCATTGAGCGGAAAACAAGGCCACAAGAGGTCACGGGTTTCCATGCAAATCCCGGACGGTTAATGATGTGTATCAAGGAAGCTGAACCGCTGGGATGGAAACGATTGCAACCTGCCTGCTCAGATCACCAGATCAGTCCGCCTCTTGTCAGTTTTGAAAACATGCTTTCGAAATCATGCCCGTGCAAGTCTAGCCATCAGAAACTATGAAGAATCCCAAAGTGTTCATCGTTGCTGTGGTTTCGAATGCTTGAGATTGATTGCTCGGGAGTTTGCTGAGAAGACTAGGACTGAACTGTTGTTCTTCCGTACCCAATTGGCAAGCAGCAACATCATTCGAAAGATCCAATCCGACAATCCAAGCTCTTCCTGTATGAGCATGTGTCTCACCTCGTTGATCCTACTGTCAACATCAAAGGTTTGGAGTTTGTTGAAGCTGACAAAGTAAGTAGATGTTTTGCTACGAGCCCTTCCTCAGCAATGCCGCCAATGGGTAGTCCTCAATGCACCTGATGAACCATTCCAAACATACATCGATAGTGCACTTCGTTACGGGGCCCAACAACGGATTTGGTTGGACATGAATGGAAAAGAAAAGGGCAAGAAGGGTAAAGGCAAAGGTGAACAAGTTGACAAAGGAGGCAAGCCACCACAAGGAAAAGGGACTGGTTTCGAGACAAGGACCTGTTTCATGTGCAATGAACGTGGAGCCGACTGTCCCAAGAAAGGGAAAGGCAAAGGCGCCTCCGACAAGCCATCCGACAAGCAGCGCAAAGGTGAAAGGAGAGGCAAGGGAAAGGAGAAAGGTAAGACAAGAGACAATTGTGACAAAGGATCAAAGGGCAAACCAAAGGGGAAGAGAGCCGTCAAATTTTCGTCATATCAGACAGAATCCGAAGCCGGTAGTGAGATTTGGTCCGGGCCGGATGTTGATGAAGGTGGTTGCTGGTCCGTTTGCATCACACCATCAATGTATGCTGAGCCTTTCTTCATTTGCCAAAACATGAGCGAACATGACCCCTCTTTGGCTTGCTGGTTCGGGCGCTAGTCGAACAGTTGTGTCTGTTGAAGCCCTGAAAGCATATCGCATTTTGAGAGAGAGGGGCATGCGAGAGTTTGAGCCGAAAGCCAAAAGAAAGGAGCCCAATCACCGTGTTATCAGTCAAGATCATGGCTTTCTCCACGCTGCCAACCATCCATTGCCCGCGCCAGGTGATCTTGAAGATGCCATTGAGCGCCCACACGATGGTAAAGAGATTTGTCCTCCGAGCGAAGTCACCAGGTATCCAGAATTCTCGAAGAAGGTGGATCGTGAACTGTCGTTACACCGCCGACGTGGACACATTCCATTTGACAGCCGCTGTGTTCATTGCATCAATAGTAGATCCACTTTGCATCATGGACGAGTAAGTAAGTCAAGCAGCGCACCCGTCGACCATCATATGATGTTGATTCAAGCAGACTTTTTCAAGGGAACAAGTTCATCTTGCTCGTCGACGCCGGAACCGGATTGCTTGGAATTAGTTTGCGCGGTCCCAACCAAGACCAAATGCTAGCCGATTGCCGCCAGTACTTTCGACAACTCGGTGTTTCGGACCTGTCATCCCAAGCAGTTGAAGCGTTGACCGACAGCGAAGCTTTGATTGGACAGCTGTTGAGACGACTTGGTCTACCACTTCAGGTAAAGTCTGCCGCGCCTCAAGCTCACGAAAGCATCGGTCTTGCAGAGAGGAACGTGCGGAGGGTGAAGGAAATGACGGGGTGTCTCAGGAGTGATCTCCGTCTGCATGGGGTTGACATCACCGGAACCCCAGAGAGTTTCACTCGTTTGGTTCAGTATGTCACCCAAACGCACAACCACTTTGGTGTTGGAGGTTCGGTAGGGCAATCAGCAGGACTTGAAAATCGTCGGACGCCACTCGAGTTGCTGTTGAACAAAGATAAATCTAAGCCTGTATCAACCATGTTCGGAAGCGTATGCCACGCCCAAGTTCCTGATTCGTTGATCGAGTTGATACCCGAAAGAACAAGATTCATTCCAGCAGCATACATGCATGTGAAGCCTAACAGTTTGGCGCGTGTAGTGTCAAGTTGCACCCAGGGATCTGAGAAGGTGTATCAGGCAGAGATAAAGCCTCTAACGGAGATCCTCCAGGACTGCTCACTTGCCCCTAGCATCCTCACGGAGGTTAGCAAGCCTGATCTACCACCGTCACTGGAAGATCCTGAGAAGGCTGTCAGGCCGTTGGACGACAAGGTAGGGCCAGGTAGGGGTTGATGAGCTGCTTCCTTCGAACGGTCCACCACGTAGTTGGGTAAGAGAGCATGGAGCCACTCCCCAATGCACTGCTTGTCAGTCACGACATGGTCGAAAACACACAGCAGCTTGTTGCCGCCGATACCGAGAGTGGGTCATGTCCGAGAGAAATGCATTAGCTGAGAAACATCCCAAACCCGATGATCAGAAAGAGCCTCAAGATGTTCCCAAGTCGAGTGAGTCCAAGCCAGAAGTCAGTGATCCAGCACACCCGACAGGCCGCCTTCGCTATCGCCAGAAGGGACCACCTGTGAATCCGAGTGATGCGCCTGCGCCGGCCGGCGCGATCGATCGTCCCATGGAATCAGGTGACATGGAATATACTCCATCAGAACCGCCACAAGCTGGTGATGTCGACATGATTGATGATCAAGATTTGCCTGTGCCACCTGATCCAAGTGAAATGCCGATGGACATTTCTCAACTTGTTGAGAGATTGTCCGAGCCGCCTGAAATGCTGTATCGCCGACTGTGGGACTGGACCGATTTGTCCGGTATATGTTCCTAATAAAGATGCAGGTCCGCTCCAGACAAAGCCAATGCAATTCTGTGGAACACAAATTTACTTAGTTGAACCAAGTTCAGGCTTGTCGGAAGACCGAATAACGTATTTCACTCCAAGCCTTGTCCACGAAGGTCGATTGATAGAGCTTGAAGCAATGAATGCTTTGCACGTTGGACACCCAATGCGTGGAGGTGAACTTGCCAAATCACTTGGAATTCGCATAATTCCACGCCGTTGGGCGCTGACCGCCAAGACTGTGAGGCAATGCCGTGCCCGATGTGTCGCTCAAGAAATCGCCAGTGGAGGAGCCTCTGCACAAAGCCTTGGGATATCAAGCGCCACTCCAAGTGTTGAATCATTTCGTTGTTTCTTGAGCATGATTAATAGTTGTGATATGCATCTAGCAGGACTGGACATCTCAACAGCCTTTCTCAACAGCGATTTACCACAGGGCATTAGGGCAATTGTGCGACTCCCAGCTGACTCGCGCCATGATATTTTCTATCTGGACCTCTACAAGTCCATGAATGGGCTACGTGTATGGCTTCAAACGTGCACTCGCCTGCTCACCGAAAAGGTGAATTTGGTCACATGTATGTCAGAACCCACAATCATGTGTGGAGTTACCAAGCCTTCCAATGCTCCAGTGATCGTGATGATCTACGTTGATTTTTTGCTTGTTGGATCGATCTCAACCAAAGGGATAGACGATGTCAGGAATGCACTTCAGGAAACCCTCAAAGTCAAGACCACCGGATCATTGACCTATGCGAGTGGAGCAGGAGGAACCATCGTGTTCCTTGGTCGTCACATCATCCGCCCAGCTGGAACAAGCGACATCCTGTTGAGAGTGCCACCAGAGTACCTCAAGGAGCTCTTCACGAACGATCCTTTTTGTTGTGAATTGAAGCCTTCGGACAAACCCCCTGATCTGTTAGGAATGCTTGAAGCTGGCGTGAAAGACCCCAAGCTTCTTAAGCCTTTGTCCGATGAAGCCGCAGTCCGATACAAAAGGATCATTGGTAAATTGTCATGCTCGCTTCCTGTCCATTTTGGCAACTGGCCAAGAGACCCCGAGCAATCTCTATGGGAATGCATTGTGTAAGTATCTCCGACATGTTCGAAGTCAGCTTCACTTGTTCCAAAGGTTCCGCAGGAAACACCGTTCTGCCAGAGTATGATGGATTGAGTGGAGTCAGCGATGCATCTTGGGGGTCAAGTGATTTGGAAAACCGCAGGTCCACAAGTGGTGGTTTGATCTTTTGGCAGGGTTCCATGATCAAAGGCTATAGTAGGCTTCAGGGATGCATCACACTGTCATCATGTGAAGCTGAAATCATTGCTGTTTGTCAACTTGCACAAGAGTGTTTGAGGGTTTGCCATGTGACTGAGTTCTTGGAAAGTTTCGGAGATCGCAACATGTTGTTGAAGCTTTCAAGCAAAGAGTTTCAGGAACTGAAGTTTGATGAGATATCCAATCTTGGCAAGCACTACCCCATGTGATTTTCACCGATTCGCAAGCATGCATTGGAGCTTTGAACAACCAAGGGTTGAGTCGCAGGGTACGTCGCATGTCAGTTTTTGTTTGTTACATCCAAGCATTGAAAGATTGTGGTAACCTCACCATCGAATGGCTTCCAGGTAGCAAATGCACTGCCGACCTGTTGACGAAAGTGATACCTGTTGAGACGAACAATTTCCATCGAAGTCAGCTTGGGATTTTGGAAATTGTAGGCCAGGAAGAATGGCAGTTGGTAGTGAACAAAGAGATGAAGTCTGACGTACAGACCTCAGATGTCCAGGATGAAATCCCAAGCACGGAAGACCTCGCAACTTTTTCGGCAAAGAAAGGTTTGTCGGTCGAAGGTCTTCAGAGTTTTGAGAATCTGCTTCAACGCATTGGCATCGAAGTCCAGGCCGGAAAAGTGACACATGTGATCGTTGAGTTGTGCACCAGTTCAAATGCCGGTCTATCTCAGGGAATCGTTTCCACCAGGACAAGTTCTTGTGCTGTCATTCCCATCACAAAGGAGATTGATTTGCACTGTGTTTCAAAGGTTTTGGTATCACGGATTGTTTGTTGGAACTGCAACCTGGAGTTATGTTCTTGGGATGGGCCTCCCCTCCTTGCACGGGAGGATCACCGGTCTTGCACTTGATCCAGCAGCCACGCCGAAGGGAGATTCAATCTGAGCACCTGCAAGAGTTTGAGGGCCTCATGCTCAAAATCCATCAGGTTTTGATTGTTTGTCACATCAGGGTCCTCGAAATGTCCCAAAGGTGTTCATATTGGAAAGCTGAATCGGTTCAGTCGTTCTGCCGAGTTCACGGACCCTTGTTGCAGTGACGAAATCCGGCCCGGAATTCTCCAGGAAATTTCGCTGATTGTGACGTGGATTGTCCAAGATTCTGCCATCCCAATTGATTTACATCTTGGGGCACCCTCTCGACCCGCGCGGGAAAATAAGCACGGTCCAAAATGGTCCTGGGCTCAAATCCCGGGCTGGTCGCGGCGTGGTCCCGGCCAATGCCCTTGCTTTTTCGTAGATTTTGTCACATTTTCTGTTTTTGCAGTTTGGCCTGCGAGCGGTCCTCGGCGAAGCGATGACGTCCGATGGTACATCTGGGAGGTACCCAAAAAGTCGACTTTTTGGGTACCTGCTTTGGTGGTAATGGGTTAGCGCAAGTCCGGGCGCCGACACTTGTGGCACTTGAATGTACCCTAGACCATGGGCAGCGCCCTGCGGCCCCACAGGCCGCAGAACCCAACGCGTCACGGGGTTCATGCAAGAGCTGACGTCCGATGGTGAATCGGGAGGTACCCAAAAAGTCGACTTTTTGGGTACCTGCTTTGGTGGTGAAGGGTTGGGTCTTACCTGCTTTGGTGATGATGGGTTGGGTCATCGACTTCTTGGGTACCTGCTTTGGTGGTGCTGGGTTGGGTCTAAATTCTTGGGCAATTTATGGGGACGAGGGTTCAGCATTACGGGACTTCTTGGGTACCTGCTTTGGTGGTGAAGGGTTGGGTCTAAATTCTTGGACAAAGTCGACTTTTGGGGTACCTGCTTTGGTGCTGCTGGGTTGGGTCTGCACTCTTAAGGCTAAGGCTAAGGCTAACATAGAGCAAGGCTAGCGCTCAGGTTCTATCTCGTAGGGGTCGGCGGCTGCAGGCGGTAGCCTGGTAAATATAGGCACCCTATGCAATCATTCGAGCAACCACATGTCGTTTCGTTCGATCACTTGGAAGGTTCGGTCGCGGTTGCACACACCGCTTTTGGCCATCGTGCGCATCGAGAAGTGTACCACAAGGTACTTGGATATGCCACGTACTGTGGCTCAAGGGCGACGCAAAAGAGTTGCTTCGCTTGGGAGCGGCGGTCCGCGTGTCGACTATCGCAGTCGAGCGTGAATCGAGAAGTGTTGTTCATTTCTTTTCATTTTCTTGTGTTGACGTTGCACTTGAACTTGAACACTAAAAGGTGTGAGTTCTCATAGGTGGTGGTGGTGGCGGTGGTGGTGTGAAAGTGAGAAACCAGACCATGAGGAGCACCTGTTTTTTCGTAAGTGCAGTGAGGGCGGTGACCTTAGTCACTGTCCCTCCTGTTTTTCGTAGGTTTCCTCCACAGCATAGTAAACGCCCAAAGCATTGCATTGCCTCGCCGGTGAGAGTTCGAATGTTTATGGAGTGCGGATGACACGCACAAATCAGGTTTGAAGTGAACCACTGCACCGATCAACCAGCCGATCGGAGCTTTTGGCCGAAGGTTCGAAGCATTAGATGCTGCCACATTACCTGTGGCTCAAGTGCGAGGAAAATCACGCACTGCGGCGTGCGGGGAGGGCGGATCCGATCGCATCGCTCGAAGAGGTCAAACACACGCAATCCAAGAAGTGTACCAAGCTTTCAACTTAGCGTTTACTTTTGGGTTTGAACTCACGTGAATTTTCATAGGTGGTGGTGGTGGTGGTGGTGGTGTCACGGCCATACGGGCCCCTGGGAGGCCTTGAGGTTTTTCAGGCAAATGTATGGTCATGAAATGTTCACGAGCATGGGATCCCCAGGTGTTTTATTCCAAGAGGATGTTTCGAGTGGGGGGGTGGGGTGCTCGAGGGGCGTGTCGGCTGGACATGTGTGGACTTTTTCTCAAACCGCCGCATGGGCGAGCAAACCGTTTCAGAATCAAATGCAGAAGCGGGAGAAACTGCAGAACATTGATTGTGCCTCCAAGGGACTGTGCATCTCGATTTTGAGTCACGAGGTCTTTTCTTGCGTCAACAATACCAAGACATGATACAAATTAGTAGGCACCTTTTTGGGGAAGCAGGAAGCTTTCAGCACGGAAAGTCTATTTGTGTGAGCCTGCTCTCTTTGTTGCACTGTGTCCCTGGTTGGTGGTTGGCGCAGTTGGGGGGCCGCTTTCTATTTTTGGCAATGCTTCACCAAGTAGAGGTGCGACGGAACTTTCCTATGCGAACCACTCCGAAACCCGTAGGATGGTGTCATGTGAGGTTTGCGTAGATCTGTGAAAAATAAGTAACATATTTTCATATATCAATTATACGCGCACTCTCATCAGACCTTATCATACCTCATTGGAGCGCGCCTCGGGACGCCCCTGCAACAGCCGTCCAGTCCTGAAGAGATCAAACATGTGGCCCCGCTTGCACTCACACTCACACACTCACACTCTCTCTCTCTCTCTCTGTCTGTCTCACCGGGTAAGATGGGTTGGTATAAAAGGACGTGAACCGACGTGAAAATGGCATCCCAGGCATATACCAAATGGATCCAAATGGCGATTCTGTTTTTATCCATCAGTTGCATCTTTCCCTCATAACATGTCATAACCATTTCATCTGATGGAGGAGCTACCACCCCTCCAAAGGTTTCAAACCCCCAAAGTGTTCCGTTTCAAAGCAGGGCTTAAGTTTAGTACCATATCCCACATCTCATCAGCTTCTGCTTCTTCTTCCTGCTGCAAACTGGAAGAAAATGTCAACAACTTTCTCAAAGTTTGCGCCTCCAAGTGACTCGGCAAGGGCATCACTGAGCTTTCATCACTAATGTGGCTAACCAAGGTAGGCCTCGGGCGCAAAGAACCGGAAGGAAGGGATCCGTGGCTTTGACTTCTCCTTTAGCTCAGGACCCACGACTCAATTCTGGGTCGTTTGGCTCCTGCGGATCGATTGCTGGAAACGGATCCGATTTCACCGCCACGATGGCCTCCTATCTCGTTCTGTTCTCTTTCCCTCTCTCCCTCTCTCCCTCTCTCTCCTTTCCCCAACTCCTTCGGGTCCTCCAGGTGAAACTCTTGTGGCTCTGCCTGAAGCTCTGCTCTTTGAACCGAATTTGACCTCGACCCTAACCGCCTCGTTTCCGAAGCTTCGTCGCCTGCCCATGACATGGACCTCCTGCAAAGGGCGCAACATTGCATCTTTTCCCTCCTAACATTGACAAACACTGTCCTCTTCCAATGCCTCCTCCTTCTTTCGGAGCTCCTGTTAGGCACTTGTAGGCTGCGTACGGAGGTGCCCCAACTCCCAGCATTCATCGGTTCTGACTTGTTGTGCTCCGCATGTACCATTTGCGGGCGACAGATCATGCTCAGCATGTGCCGACAAAAAATCTGAGCCATTTCGGATCAGCCCCTCCGCTTGTAGCCAAGCTCGGTCAAGTGTGTTCAGTGCACGGCTCTTTGAATGTCAAAAAACTCTTGGCCAAACTTGTGGTGAGACTGAGGCACTCACAGCCAAGCAGTGAAACCATTTTTTGAGCACTGGGGCAAGTGGATAACTTGAGTCCTGAAAAGGGCATGCAAAGCTTAGACTTTCTGTGACCCACATGTGCCCACATGCACAAAGAAAACATCCATGGGTGCAGAATGCTATATTATCTGCCCTGTGCAGTATGAGTCGTGCCTTTCGATTTGTGCCGCCGTGTATGTTTTCAGGATACCAAGTGGAAGTAACAAGTGCCTCGACACAACGTCCAGCAAAGACCAGCATTTCAAAGACTTGAACAACACGGAGCACACCAAAACAATGGAAAAGGCTTGCTTAATCAGGAAAAGTCAAGCCCCTGAGGCAACAAAGGCTGCAATTTTCAAAGAGGGGAATGCACTACCGGGCTCCCAAAGGAACACGTTTCTTTTTGTCCATGCAGCTTTGTAACAGTATGCCCCAGAACCTGCCCCTGCTGTCGACTGCAGCAATATTTGGGAGTATTTTTGCCACATGTTCGGATGTCGATGCAATCTCATCACTCTTGCAATGTTTAGTTAGTGGTAAGTTGTATTTTTTTGGGGAAGACCTTCTCTGCTTTTCCACTTTTATGTATTTTCTTGCTTGCTTCGCTTGTCTGCTTGTTTCTGTCTGTGCTCTTGTTCGCTTTTCTGCCAGGCAAGTAGCAACGAAGGGAGCAAAACAGGAAGCAAGCGAAGAAGCTAGCAGCAAAGTAGCATGGTGCCGCGAAAGAAAGCACGGACGCACGAACAGAGCATGATGCTGCGCCATCGGCCATGACATCTGCACCTGCCACGAAATCAACTCCAGCGGCACTTCTTTTGCATGTTAAACCGTTAAACCCTGTGTGCGACGCTACGCGAGGATCCTTCTCAGTGGTTTACTTACACGCATATAATCGTATATATTTACACTCCGCTTGCAACACGCAGGAGATGAGAGCTTCCTGTGTCAAAGCAATGCAAAATGCAGGATCCTACCCAGAAGCAATAAATATAAAACACTCGCAACCTAAAAAGCAAGCACCAAGACCTATCCGCACCCCTTTTTTTGCCGCATGTCGTTCAACCCTGCTTTTGTGGTATGAGCAATTACTGTATAATCGGCAAAGACTGCCAAACGCACTATGACAATCATTTGGATGGTTTCATTTCTTTAGTGACTCTTTGCGCTGAGAGCGAGGTCGGCTAGGACATAGACATTTCCTGAAGCTGCAGGACTGAAATGCTGAATTTCTGCTTGTATTTGGGTCCATGTTTATTGATTGATATGCACAGTCTGCACAGTTGCTAATTGATCTAATTGCTACTTCTTACTTCAGTTTGGTTGAGGGCGGGCACAGTGTGGAAATGTGTGGAAGCCGGCCAAAGGCGAACTCAAAAGCCACAAAAGCTACCAAAACAAACGACAGAAGAAAAGCCACAGGAAAGCCACGAAAAGCAACAAAGCCACAAAAGGCAATAAAAAACTAAAGAACACTTACCCACAGTGAAACTCCTGGTACTTCCAGGATTTTGTCAAAGGACCAATATCACTCTCACGCTACTTGATATGTTCCAGGTCTTGCATCCTGCAAACTAGATCAGGTTCGTATTGAAATCTGCAGCTTGCCCCCCACCCAAGTCAAGCACCCTCGCCAACAGTCTCGTCAAAATGAACAGCTTCCTCAGCACCCAGTTGATGACAACCTCCGTGCCGAGAATGCATGACCCACAGCCTCAGAATCCTGTGTGCGCAGTTTTTCTGCTCTGGGGTGCAAGTGCCTGTGGCGATAGAGTGTTTCACTTCGAAATGGAGAGCGCAAAGGAAGCGGGAAAATACACAAACAGGCCGGACATTGATGGCTGCTTGTACGGCCATCCGAAAGAATGCCACGCCTCCCAAAGATCAAAGCAAGAGCGACCCGCGCTGCCTTAGACCGGATGAGCGGATGCTGCTGGTTCTTTACAAAATGCACCCTGCCACATTCGGGATGGTTTTGGAGTCGTCGTGAATAGGTGCCAATGGTCACCAGGAATCTAAATCAATAAAATGAGGGGAGGCTGAGCTGGTAGGGTGGCCCTTACACGCAGGCATGCAGCGGAAACTTGCGCCCCTTGAAGCAGTTTGAAGCAACAGAAAAGCACACGCACACATGCTTGGCCAGCTTACAGTAGATGCACATTGTGAATAGTCTAAAGTTAGGAATCAATGGTTTCATGATCAAAACCTTCAAAGGCTTCTTGCGGAATGGCATGCATGGATGCCATGTGCACCAAGTGACCAAGTGTTCCTATGCAAGTTCATGTCATTGCGAATGCCCTATCGCCCTGACAAGTCCTGATTCCTGCAAGTATGCAAGTGACGAGGCCCTCTTGAGGGTGCGCTCGCAGTGCTGGTTGATGTTTCCCACATTGTCGTCGACCAAGCGCTTCATCCTTTCGAGCGGCGCATTTGCCACGGACTCTGAAGGAGCGACGAAAGAAAGGGAACCTTTCTGAGGATCCGACACTTGAAGAAACTGAGGAAATCGCATGAGCAGCTTGTGGTCAGGGTGAACCTGACAGGGTCAGAAGCCGCTTCTACACCAAAGTGCATCAAGCGGAAAAACACCAACCCTTACGACGCAAGGACGCAGCCTCGCGGACAATCGCATTCAAAGCACTGACATCTTCATCGCTGAACTCTGTAATGTAACCTCCACAAAAATGCAGTGGCACAACAAATCGATTTGGGGCCAGTTGCCCCCCAATCTTCAATTTGAGCGTCTGCGCCAAGCCGCTCATAATGCTCTGGACATCTGCAGGTGTTAGCTCTCCTACCTGAATGCGGCTGAACACCACATTTTGAATTTCAAAGTGCCCTTTCACCTTTTTGACGCCTTGAATAATGACTGTTTGTTTTTCTGCTGCCAAGGCGACCCAATTTGCCTTTGCCGCAAAAATCCTAAGTCAGCGGAAACAAAGATGCCTACTACATGCCAGCGGTAGTAATTTCACTTTGATTCTTGAAAGACACGCGTGACATTGAAGCTGGCCGGGCTGTTAGCATTGAGAGGGATATCTGACCAACCCTAAATGTAATCCGTGACTTTTCACCACGCAAAAAGCCTTTACCAGCTTGTGTTACTTTTTGACCGATGAATATTCACCTGGTTCTACCAGCCAGGTTCGATCTGTAGCCTTCCAACTCGTCTGCTTCGATGCCCAGGGCCACGGCCACCGTCCTTGGCGAAAGTCGACACGAAGACATTCTGCAGCTTCCCGGGACGTCCCCAGCGTTTAGGCCCTAGGCCATGCCCGGCCCTATGCAAGTATGTCCGTTCGCCAGAGCAACATGTGAGAAGGACGTAATATGAGTATTGGAAGGAGGGCCCAGTGCGAGTCCAACTGCCACACCGGAAATTCTAAAGAAGCAACCACCACTCCAACTGCTACTAGGAGCAAGGACGCTAGCCCTACTACTAGGAGCAAGGACGCTACTAGGAGCAAAGGGCATCGCTACTAGGAGCAAGGACGCTACTAGGGGCTCTTTGTGCTTTCATGCCTATCGTGTCTTTTCACATCAAGCCGTCAAGATCCGTCAAGCCTGCTAAAGGTCCATTGCCAAGGAACTCTTCTAGCTGGATGTCCTTGGTGCTTCGACTGGGGAAGCTGATGAAAAAACACCCATGTGAAGCAGTGGCAATTCTTTGTAAACAATCGATCAACATGTGGTCTTGGGCATGAGCAATCATATGAGCTTCCAACACAGTCAGGCCCAGCAAGGGTCTCTGAACATCTTCAGCATGAACCCCACAAAACACCCATTGACCGGCAACCCCAAGCGACCTAGCACGCCGCTGCCGACTTTGCAAACCACACAAACCTGGAGCACTCAAACCGTCTATCCGAGTCTATCCGTCAAGCATCGCTCTCATCTCTGATGTCATCGCAGCGGCGCATCAACACCAAAAACTCGAGAAAGTCCAAGGCCCCGTTGCCGTCTTGGTCCACGTCCTTCAAGATCAGCTGCATCTCAGCTCGGCCTTCCTCAGCGTATCTCTCACATGCTCTCACCTACAGTAACTCATCCATGTTGGCAGCTTGAAGTTTCCAACATCACTGTGATCAGGCTGAAACTTTGAGTCTTGGTCTGACATGATCCTGCAGATCCACTTGCAGTCCATCTTTTCACTTCAAGCCTGGATCATCCTTGACCCATCCGATTTCAGCCATCCGAGGCTCTTTGGACTTGGTTGCCTCAGGCTACAATTGCCATCTCACATGGATTCAATGAGGATTTGGATGCAGTCATTGTCACAGGCTGTTTCGGTTGATGATGAGTGTCTCTTTCGCAGTTGGCACAGCCGGGCCTCTGGAAAGTACTCTGCAATGATCTTGGCAAGCTCGCGCTTTTCTACTGTACCACTCCTGTCCTGTCAAAAGCAAAGCCTCTCAACAGGAGAACATCATGACAAATGCAAATTGAATTCTGAAAGTCCTTATCAAATTTGTTGAAGCATTCCCTGAGTGCCAACACCTGGCAAGGCACGTCAAGGTTTTGCATCCATTGGCACCCACTACGAAAGGATCTGATGCGACATGACATAGGTCATACGTCCAATATGGACTTGCCCTTCAGGCCTCGGAAGCATTGTAGCAAGCGTGCTGTCGCATCTCGTCAATCTCCAAGCGGCCTTAGTTGTCGATTGCTGAGATACGTATGAGAAATCTCGAAGATTAAACAATCTAGTACATATATATATATACATACACATATATCACTTTTTTCTCTCCCAGTGGCGGAAACTCTTGAAGAATGCTTGGAAGGTGGATCTGGACACCGATTCCTTCCTCAGTGTACAGTCGGGTGGCTCGCCTGGGATCTGGCTTATTGTGCCCAAGCTTCGTATCCATCAAGGTGAAATGGTTCTCATTGGCGGCCTTCTCTGCTTTTGCAATCGATGCCCCGTATTGCGACAGCTTCCTCAGGGTGTTACGAGGTTGTACAACACGCCATTTGAGACTCTAACACGAAGGTCGCACCATTCAAAAACCCGGACTTACAGTTTTTTTGGTCACCATCAAAGGCACCATCCCACTGTTGTTTGAACTTGCTCGGTTGGCGCTTTTAATATTCCGTGTCCAGCAAGGCAGCAAGCACCAAGGCAGCTGACCGGCTGCATATGTTGAAACAGTCTTTATCTAATGTCCAGACCATTTGCACCTCAAAAAAACCATCCCGCGGTTCTTCCAGTCGGGGCCTTCGGTGCCCTCCGACAGCAAAGCCGGACAAGTTTCTGAACTGCGAAGGGGATCTTTGAAACCATCACCTGCGACATGGCCAAGGTGCATCAAGGTCTCTTGCAACCATGCGAAACCATATGATGTTGGACTTGTGTGGAGCACCCTGCAGAACTAAACGGCAAATGACTGTGGCAATCTTTCCAAGGTCCAGGCATGGTCGTTGCCCTTGTTGTCCAGCATTGTGAAGAGATTCCACTGTTCTCCTCTCAATTCCTTGTTCCAACTCAAGTCATCAAGAAAGTAGCTGGAACGCAAAGCTGAGGGGCTAGGGAAATAATATGAAATACATGGACATATGGACCCCGTGCGTCTATGGCTGATCTGGTGCCTGTTTCCGCCTTTTTTTGTTGACGGCGCATGGAAGTGGGTCCAAGCGGCTGAGAATTGTCGCTGCATGAGCTTCAGAAACCTCAGCAAGGGCGCCATGAGTTCAGAAACCAAAAGAAGCCTTCAAAAGGATGAGGATAAGTATAGTATTTTGAATAGGACGCTCGGTTGACCTGGACACCCCCGCCATATATAGGCACAAGAGTCCTTTCGCTTTCGAGCTTTTGGAAAAGGACTCAGGTTTTCTCGGTTTACATTGGTATTGCCGCGACGCCGTGCGCGCTACTCCTTCCTTTGGGTCTTTGCCCACCACGGTCTGAGGGGTGATCCTGGTGACTGGCTGGGGGGGCTACGTGGGTTTGTAAACCTTGATGCCTACACCGGAGGGGGATCCGGTGCAGGAGGCCGATCCTGATGGAGAACGGCAAGAAGCAGAATCCCAGGAGGGATCAAGTCTATGAGGTCTTGGGGTCAGTGGACGGAAGAAGAGTGGGCATTGTGGAACCAACACCAAGCATACTACTCCTGGAGCCAGGCTCCGGGATCGGCGGCTGCCGGTCAACCACCACCGCAGGCCAACTCTTCTGCCTCCGCAACGACGACACCTCAGCCTGATCTACAACCTCGTGATTTATGGTGGGCGAACTCTGACACCTGGCAGCAACAAGACAGCGAGGGTCAGGGGGGACAAGATAAGATCCAAGTACCTGAATACACAGGTGAAGAGGATCGCGATGCCCTAAAGGCCAAGGGCTACATCAGGAAGATCGAGGCCTGGCGACGGGTGACTCGCCTGCCAACTCAGAAGCAGGCCTTGATGCTCTACAACAACATGAGCGGCCGAGCTTGGAGGGATGCGGAGGAATTGGACCTCTCCGCATTGGACACGCTGGAAGGGGTTGAGATCTTCATGGATTGGATTCGCACCCGCTACATGGACAAGGAGGTCCACCAAGGTGGGGGGCGCCACACGTCCGACTTTTTCAAGGTGTTGAAGCGCTCGGCGAACTAGGACATCCGGGACTTCAACCAGGAGTTTGACCGCCAGGTATCTCGCCTGAAGGAGGTAGGCTGTGCACTCCCGACACATGTCTGGCCTGGTGGTATGTTGATAAAATGAGAATGGACAATGCAACAGAGCTGTACCCGTTGTCCTCCGTTGGCAACTCCCACACCCTTGCCAAGCTTCAGGAGGCGGTTATCATCCAGGACCGGATGAACAGACGCATGTGGGAAAGGCGACCTGATGGAGATAAGAGGTCCGACGACCGAAAGAAGGGACACCAGGCCTTATAGGGGGGAAACGGACGACCTCGATGATGACCTCCTCGACGACGACGAAGGGGGGCATGGAGGACGATGACGACTTCCCGGACGATGAGGAGGCCCATGAAGCCTATGTCGCGTTCCGCAACGCCAAGAGCAAGTACCAGTCCATGATGAAGGAAAGAGGGTGTGGACAGCAACCCAAGGAAGAAAGGTTGAAACAAGCTAAAGCCAGGTCCTACTGTTCCGTGTGCCACCGTAAGGGGCATTGGCAACAGGATCCTGAGTGTCCGGCCAACAAAGGGAAGAGCGGAAGCACTCCGCTTACTATGCATGTGGTCTACTACACCGGCAACAATGCCAAGGAGCCGAACACTGACTTCCTGGCCATCACCGACTGCGCCTGCAGCAGAACGCTGGCCGGGCGTAAATGGGCGGGGCACTTCATCAAGTTCATCAAGGAGAACCACGTCCCCTACTTCCTCATGGAGCAGAACGAGGTGTTCAAGTTTGGTGGAGAGAAACTATATCCATCGAAAGCAGCACTGGTTACTTGGCTCGCCATCAACAACGAATGGTTCCTGGCCAAGATCAGCGTGGTGGGAGCGGATGTCCCGCTCACCCGCACTTGCTCAGCCGGGCATGAACTATGACATCGGCAAGGGGTTGGCTGACTTCACCGCGGGCATTCCTTTAATCATGAGTCCGAATCACCGGCAATAGCCCCGGGGGTTGGCATTGGCCTGAGCGGATTGACTGGAGTCTCACTGAGATCTTCGTACCCCGAAAGCAGGAGGCATACATGGTCGCACAGCAGCTCATCCTGTTCTACCCCAAGAATTTGACTACGGGTGCTCATGAATTGTTGGTTGGTGAACCCTTGAATCATGAAGCGTTTTTTGCATTGGTGGAGGACCAAGGACTACTACTATGGGGACTTCTGGATCGAGACACCGTCCTTCCTCTACAGGGTTCATGTTATTCCCCGGAGATCTTAAATTTGACCCACGGACTTGGAGGACATCGAATGAGAACCTGAAGGACAACCTGTTGGACCACATCGGAGACACGTGTGAGACAGTCACCATTCCATGCACAACCAATGCAATGCCCTTGTCTCAACTCATCAAGCGGAAGGAAACACCGACCAAATTCAGATACCTCTGGATTGGTCGCAGACGTCTCAAACGGGAGGTCAAGGATTGCTCCACGGCCTATTCGGAGCACCAGACCACGGATGCCCTCTCATCCCACTCCTTCGCCATGGAAGATGAACCGACCGGAGCTGGTGGAGACCTTGGAAACGATGGGGGTCACAGACAAGAAGGAGTGGACGGTACCGGAACTCCGATCCATCCTCATGGAGTACCGGGAGGAGTCTGCTCAGAGTCAGCTCAAAGGGATTTCATCCATGAAGCTGAACGAGCTCATCGCCAAGTGCCAGGACGAGAAGATCCCGGTACCACAAAAGCCCACCACAAGACTACTGATGAGGCTTGTCAGGGACAATGTACTTTGCACCGGGGACGAGGAGGTGACCTTCGGCCGCTACAGGTACTGGGTAAAGAACAACCTGAACAAGGGGTCTGGGTCCAAGGGGTCTGGAACCAAGGGCTACCGAGATCCGGAGTCATTGGCAGTGACAACACCGCCTCCTCCAGAGCTACCTCCCAAGTCGTCCACGACCCAGACAACGACCGGGGGGGAAAGACACTACCCAAGAAGAAAGCGAGTTCCTAGAAGAAGACCAGGACGTACCCGCACGAGGAGGACGATTTGGACGAGCAGAAGGAGAAGGTCAAGGCCCTCGAGACAGCTCTGGCTCAGATCAAGGGTCAGCTAAGGGGTAGTTCGAGTACCTATGAGCCTGAAGGGGACAGCGGGGTGGAGACTGGCGACGGGCGTGTCGACCTCAACGTCTTTGGCAACCCGAAGAACGACTACATTGAGGAACACTATGAGGAGGACAACTCCGAGGACATGAACTTCAAGGTGCCGAAGGTGAACTTGCTTTACCCCGATGACTATATGAAGGTGAAGAACCTCCCAAGCCATAAGATGAAGCGGTCAAGTCGCAAGAGGGTGCGGGGCTGGGCTAGACGCACCCTGTCTGGCCTTCTCAGCAACCGCCTGGGAGAACACAGCAATGGCCATGAAGCCTGCCTCAGATTTGGTCAATGGACATCTTCCAGGTGGACATCAACAAGGTGAAGATCGTGTGGCCCTGCTCGAGCTCTTCTGCGGGTGTGCAAGACTCACTACCGAGTACGCCCATGCGGGAATCAACGTTCTGGAGCCGAGGGATTTGCTCCTGGGCCACGATCTGTCCAGCGAGGCTGAACAAGAGAGGGTGTTACAAGACATCGCACACTTCAAACCAGAACTGGTATGGGTTGCACTTCCTTGCACAGTTTGGGGGGCCATGGGCACTGGTCAACTAAGCTCACGATCCTCAACGACTACGGCGACTCCGAATGAAGCAGAAGAAGCCCACCCGCTTTGCGGGAAGAGTAGCTGCAATAGTGGTCGACTATGGAGGTGACATGGCTTTTGAGCATCCCCGTGGCTCTGACCTATGGATGGATCGGGACATGATGGAGACCCTCTCGGCTGACTACCAGGTGAAACTGGATATGTGCAGCTATGAGCTCCGTGCAAGGTCCGCCTTCTGAAGCCAACAATCTACGGACGAGGCCTTCGTGAACGTCTTGGAACGACCTTGCACGGGAGACGAACATACCTTGACAGCCGGTCAAAACACCAAGCCGGCAGGGGCCCATACAAAAGAATTCGCACAGGCAGTCGTCAAGGGACATAAACGAATGAGGAAAAGCAAAGAAGGGGTCTGGACCTCATACCCAACCGAGGTGATGCTTGAGCGGGAGGAAGGGGCACTTAGGGGGGCCTACTGAGGACTTGACAGTGGAAAAAGGTGGAGTCAGGGGCGGCCGGAATATCATTTCCAGCCCATATACCAACGGCCATCGCCTCATCACTGAGAAGAGTCCACCAGAACATGGGGCATCCATCGAACCAGGACTTGGCCCGGCACCTCAAACTGGCCGGAGCTAAAGATCAAGTGGTAAAAGCCTGTCACCAGTTGGCATGCCAAACATGTAACAGGGCAAATGCCTGCGGCAGTCGCCGACCCGCGAAAGTGGTCAAGCCACTTGACTTCAACGATGAGGTGGCGGTGGACACCATGTACCTCTATGACAACTCCGGGAAGAAGATCACCGTTCTGTCCATCCTAGGCGTTGGGTCAGGCTATCACGTGACCCGGCGCGTGGAGACTCGCAAGGCCGATGACTATGCCCAAGGCTTCCTTGACGCCTGGCTATCCTGGGCAGGGTCTCCCAATGTGGTCCTGGTTGATCAAGAACGTGGACTCACCAAGGACTTTCCCGAGGTTCTCGAGAAACACGGGGTGACAGTAAGGTACACAGCTGGGCAAGCACGCTGGCAAAACGGACACGTGGAAAGACAGAACGAATGGTACAGGCACATCTTTGACAAGGTCAAGGAGCACACGGCCATGAGGGACGAGGGCATCGATTGGACGCTCTCTGCAGTGGCTGAGGCGAAGAACTACCTGCAGAGAAGACATGGGCATTCACCAGCCCAGTGGCTATTTGGATCGACACCAAGGCTTGGAGTTGGGTTGGTGGACGAAGAACATGAGGTACAAGAACGGCAAGAACTCATTCCTCCCGGCGATGACTGGCATCGGAGAAACCAGATCTGACTAGCCGCTCGAGAAGCCTTTCTTCATCTTCAAGCAAAAGAAGGCCTCGAGAGAGCGGTACATGGTCGACCCCGGGTTCAACATGAAGACTATCAACCTGGCCAGTATGTCTACATCTATAGGACCACGAAGACACCTGGCGGGGTGGCACGAAGGCGACAAAACATCGGGGAATGGAATGGATCTGGAACCATCATCGGTAAGGAGGGCAAGCACAACTTCTGGGTCTCACGAGGTGGACGATGTCTTCTTTGTGCTCGTGAGCACCTACGCGGTGACATTAAGGCGGCTCAGCAGGCTAAAGGGGAGAAGGTGACCTACCAGAATATGGGCAATATGGACGACCTCATCTTAGTCTACCACGACGCTGAGTACCTGGAGGCCAAGGAGGTTGGGATTTACTCGCAGCTTGGCTATGTCCTGCTCATCACCAACAAGGAGGTGCTTCGAGGAGAACATCTGCCTGGGATGCTTGTGGGTTGGAAGTCACACGCATGTCCACGCGTGTGCAGCACATTTGGCCGAAACCATGGCCGCCTTGGAAGGGTGGGAAGCAGTGGCATCCCGAGCCCTCATGGGATGCCAATCGTCATTTTGAGTGCAAGATTCCTGCCTGTTTCAGGTCACGATCAATGAAGATGGTGGGAGATGGTATGAGCATACCCGAAACCCGAAACTAAGATTTGCGAGGCTTGCTTTCCTTGAATTTAGCTGCTGAAAGAAAGCACTTGTGATCCGTGTGGTACCTGTGCAGGAGTGCCAGAGATACTAGAAATTTGAAGGGCAAAGTGATGGAGGCTTTGACGAGCTGGCTGAATTTGCCAAAACTGACTTGGCATATTTATCAATGTTGGTTCTCCCAAGCTAGTTCTTGATCTAGTTCCTGGAGAGCGTCCAAGTCTCTGTGCGCTTTGACTTTCCGGAGCTGAGCAGTTGTGGGCCTTGTTCCACAAGCTCGGCTGTTTCCAGAGATTTTGGTTACGCCAAGTTACTCCAAGCAACCGGACAAAAAAAGCTGATTTGCCACGAGCATCGGGGTGAACAACTCTCGAAAGGAAAAGAACAGGAAAGGCATCCTTTCCTGGACATGCTAATGACAGTCAAACAAAAGGCGTAGGACAAGAAACAGAACGGGAACCATGAAAGGACAAGGACACCAGAATGGAAATGCATTTCTGAAGTGAAAAAAATCATGAAGATCCTTACACAGGAAAGCTACTACTATTGTGAGAAGAAAGGCGGTTCAAAAGGACAACAAAACCATTAAAGAACAAATCATAGATTGAAAGAATAGGAAGCAAACTAAGCCAGCAAAACAAACCTTTTGGAAAGAAAAGAACAGGACAAGGACAAAACAACAAAACACAGTTCTTATAAAGGAAAGGACACCATGACAAGGACAATCCAAAACAAAAAATCCTCTTCGGGAATGGGGGAACACTACTGTCAAATATGTTCTCAGAGGAACAAGCTCAGAAAGCTAACATCAAAAGAAAAAGACCTCCAAAACAGAACAAAGAAAAGGAATAGCCATTTGTAGTGAACAAAAGTAGCCGCTTCTTTTTGAACAAGTTGGTGGAATTGAATCAAAAGTCAAAAAAAGGCAAACACCACCAAAAGGTATCAACGACCACCTTCAAAAACGGAGTCAAACATACAATATCTTAAACCAAGTGACGAGTGTACTTCCATGCCTTTTTTGTGGGACAAGGGAAGGGTTAGAATCGCTTCGTTCGGGCGAATGACTAGGCGATGGCAAAGATGCTTCCATTCAGTATGATGTCATGGAGCTTGCAAGGCAGGAATCACCGACGCCATGACAGTTCCCTTTCTTTTCAAATGCCAACTGGCTGCAACACTGTTCTTTTTGTTTCTGTTTTTTTGCCCTCGGCACAACTCTATCAATTTTGTCCTTGGCGACAGCGGGATTCGGACTAAGCTCTAAGCTCTGTGATCTCCAACTTGCCCCTAGCATCCTCGGAAAGCAAAAAGGAACAAACATGGAATTGCTTCTTTTGCATCTGCGTGTTTCCCTTCAGCCTTTTCTCTTCTGAATTTCTCTGATCCATCTGTCCGCTTTACAAGGTTCACTCAAGACTGAACAAGCACCATTCCAGTAGATCTCACCGGCAGAATCTGAACCAATTGCGACGAGGCTCCAGATCAATCTCGTCTAACATGGTCTGCACCTCAAACAATGGTCAATGGGTGTCCCCACTCTCAAAGAACAATTGATCCATAGAACCCGATTCTATATTGTTGCTGTTCTTCTTGGCCCATTGGCTTGGCTCAAAAAGTACTTTTTGATCTCACTGAGTCCTTCGTGACTTCGTACCGTCTTCCTCCAAGCCACTTGCTGGAGAGGCTTGGTAAAACCAAACCAACGCATCACCCGACTCCTGAGGAAAGCCGATGGACTTAGTTACGACGTGCTTAGCCGCTTTTGAAAAACAAAGCCTTAGCCTTTTGCTTTGCTTTTTGCTCCGAGATGTGAAGAAAAGTGACAAAATCCGCCAGGCATCGCTCGCAAGGCATCGACTGCATGATCTGCCCGTACTGCATCCTCGCAGGAAACAAATCGTTACGCAAGTGATACATCATTATTGTTATTGCTAGTGTGTCTTTTAGCTATATATATAGGGCTCAAGGTATGCAGGACCCGAATACTGAACCTTGAAAGCCCCAGAACTCAAGAGGAATTCGCTTCGCCAGTGAGCTAAGCTCTAGCCGTACTTGGTGGTAAAAGCACCATTCTGAGTACATGCTAAGTACTTCCAGTGGGCTGCAGATCTTGGCAAACAAATCTGGAATCGAAAGCTGATATGGTCACTTGGAAAACAGTGTGCGCAACTGTTAGCCGGTGCCATTATGGACCGAGCCACAATGGTCAGAGCGGCACTTACTTAGACCGGGCAAAGACCTGCGGCGGCGAAAACCAAGAGAAACCTGTTGAGGACTATGCCTTCATAGTCCTGGCGACCCTGCAACAGGCCAGCCAAAGCCGATAAACAGAAACAAGAGGATGCAAAGGACTACCAGCCAGGTCTGGGGTTCATGGATGAGCGAAAGTGCATGGATGGTTGGGGGGTAGGTCGAGCCACCTCACAACCTACGCGTGCAAGATGCCAGCAAGGGACAGAGATTCTGCAGTGCCACCGGAAGATTGTCAAGGAACACGTGGGCAGCTGCAAAATCTACATGTGTGAGCTGAAGTTGCACAGCATGACTTCATACCAGACCACGCAATCGCTTTGCTTTAGTGCTGGTAGGGTACTAGCGGATGTCAGGGATTGCCTCTTCGTACCCAGCACGAATACCCGGCATTGTGAGTGGCTAGGTTGCGGGTTGGTCTAGGTCGTGAATTGGCCTTATTGTTCGCAGGTTGGCGTGTCATGCCAAACTTGCAAAATGAATGAACACCATGTTCAGCAAGCGGTGCGAGGTGTGCTGTTGTACAGTTGCAGCACGGCCTTGGTTTTGTTCCCCGGCTTTGTTTCTGAAAGCCAATATCAAAGAGTCTTGACTTCCCGTGCTAATATGGCGTTTGTCTACAACGAGCTTTTCCCCTGAGATCCACTCGTATTAAGCCCGACTTTTCACCAGTGTTGACATAGAAACGCGATTCGTCAGGAAGGACCGCATGTAATTTGGGAATTAATTTTGCGAGGCAATGAGCCCTAGCGGACCTGTGAGCGAATCCAAAGTCCGCGCGCCGGGCCAGCCCGTGTGTCGCCCGGAGGGCCTTTGGTTGTAACTTGTAACCGAAGGTTATAGGCGGCGCGCCCCCGAGCGCCGACCACCTCAAGATGACCCAACATAGGTCCCAGATATGCCCAACATAGCCCCAAGATGGGCCAACATGGCCTCAAGTTGCGCCAACATAGGCCCCACACGGCCTCAACCAGAAGAGAAAGAGCACGAACTGGACACGTCCGAAAACTATGAGCTTTACTGTGTTTTCGGGGTTGCGGGAAGAAAGGTCTGGAGTAGACGTGTCCGAGAACCATGTGCTTTACAGCGTCTAGATTAAACCTGTGCGAAAACCATGTTTTACTGTGTCTGCGGGGCTGCGACTGGATTGAACGTGTGCGAAAGTCATGTGTTTTACGGTGTTTTCGGGGTTGCGGCGAGAAGCGTCCGGGCTAGACATGTCGGAGAATCAACCTCTACAGGACAGTCCACCTCCTTCTCGCAGAGGATGCTGCGTCTCCGTTTCCTATCCCTTCCTTCTCTCTCGTCCCTGCCCCGGCCGGCGCCCAGCTGTCAGGCGTAAGCGGCGTAAGCCTTTAAATCCATATCATTTGTTTATCTATATATTTTTTCTGATCAAAAGGCGCAACGAACCATACGGCAATCCTCCACTTCTTCACTTAGGAACTGGAACGGAATTGAACGCTCTAGGTTTGATTCTCTCATTGAAGCAGCTTCTGCAAATGAGATGTGGACCGCTTTGAGACAAGCTGCCAGGTTGACACCAGGAGGTCTAGGTGAGGCGTGCGTGGTTTTGGGGCTCGCCTTGGCGGCATTCGACAGGGGCAACTCAGCCTTACAGCGACATGGGGTTCCAAGGTGCAGGGACTGGGATCTGCAGGCCAGTGGTGGGTGATGCTGGAGCCGTCTTTGGTGATCCCGTCCTCGGATGAAACACGTTGTTCAAAACGTTTTGCGATTCTTTGCGATTCAATCTTGATCTTCGGCTTCCAAGCCACTTGGGAGGATGTGGATGCTCCTCCAGCTGTTGCAGGAACCGCCGTTGAGCCGTGACCTTCCGTCCAAAACTCTCACTTCCCAACCATGCTGCAATTAAGCCCAGTATGGCAGTATGACTTAGAATATCCGCTAAAACACGAGGGGACTCCCCCAAAAGACATGCGAGAAAACCTCGCACATAAAGTGATATATTATATCATTGAATTTGCTGCCCAAATCCAGACCGTTTGTCCGCGTGATTTTGATTCCAAATAGCGACGGAGCCTGGCACTGGTGCTCGAAGGCCCCTTCCTGAAGCAATGCTGTCTACACAGCCAAGCATCGGCTTCATTCTCTTGATTGATAAGTCCGTTTTCTTTTCATCTTGCAGCTTTTCACTTTACCATTGGAGTCCAGTCCATCAGAGCCTGTGAGAATTTCAGCCGATTTCTTTTTGAAACAAAGCTGGCCAGGCGCAGCCTCTCTGTCATCATACCGAGCTTCCATTTCTCTTCTCTCCTGTGGGGTGAAGCCGTCCTTCTCCCGAAGTGCATTCAGAAATGCAACCTGAGCTTTGCCACATGTGAGACTACAGAACCTGGAGCACAAAAACAAACTTGTATCGTGTATTTACCAAAGTTTGATCCAACCTGCCAAACCTCAGAATGAACAGGTCCTGTCAAAGTGGCCGTCTCATCCTGAGTCACGTATTGGTTACCTTGGAGGTGCAAGTCTGAATTTGCGTGCATGAACAAACCCTCATACTTCAAGACATGCTGATATGCCTGAGGTGCTCTTTAGCCGAAGGTGATCCAGGATGTGCTTGATCAGGTCTTCTGTCACATAGTACCTCCAAGCCAAAAGCAACAGCCTGTGATCTGAACACGCAAACCCACAAATATAAAGGGTATTAGGGTGAGGAATCGAACATCTGAGCTTGAAGCCACTAGTTTCCTGGTGCTGTGAGACAGTGCACCAACTGCTGGCAGTTGATGCAACCCTGTTTTTGCTAATGTGCCGCATGAACGCTCGAGTGATGTGATGTCTGTATTGCTCACACTGTCGGTATGAGTACTCTTGATGCACGGCAGGCAGTGTCACCAGGCTCTGCCCATTTTTGATTCGACTCTCTCCTTGTCCTCTAGCCGCAGCCTTTCGGCCCTTTCTGTCTCTGTTGACTGAGCACTATGCCCCTGGTGTCCCCTGGTATATTGCCCTTTCTCCAATGTCGACAAATCACTCTGTTCTGCTGTATTCCTTCTGGTTTGCTCCCGCAAACCTTTTCCAAAGTGAGCTGCCTTGTCATCTCCATTTTGCAACATAGATCTCATGCTGAGCACCCTAAATTGCTCTGCCCGCTTGGGTGGGTGGACTTGGCTCACATCCTTTTGGGCGGAGCCTAGGGAGCGCCGAACCCTTCCGAGTGAGCCCTTCCCACCGATCTCAGGCCTCAACTCTGCTAGTGCATGTCCTAGGTCTCGCAGCTGCAACCTGTGCGAAAACCACAGCCACGAGCCCTTCGAGCTGTTTTGGTACGCCGTGGACTCTCCCAACTCTTTGCCAAAATGAAAGCAATTGCTCCGAGAATGTTGTCACCACTTGTCCAAAATTGTCCCATTGTCCTTTTGTCCAAGCTCCTTCTGCCCTTCCGGCGGTGTCATACGTTCGATGCGCCTGATACCCTCTTCAGCGAGGATCTCGAAGACCGTGGAGATGGCTTCTCGCTCCGCGTCCCGGACGCGGCGCACAAGCTTCAAGAGCTCCTGAAAAGCGCCCACCGCTACGCTCCACTTCTTGCTTTCTGTTTGCGACTCTTCGCATGTACTGTGCGACATGGCAAAGCGTGTCCGCGAACCATGGTGCGCTGGTACGCTGGCACTTACCATGGCGGCTGTGATCGCGCTGGCTCCGCCGGTTGCGCTGGTGACGCGCTGGTTATGCTGGTTGCCCTGGTTGCGGTGCTGGGTGAAACTGGTGCAATCAGTGCTACCAGTGTCATCGGAGCCGGTGTAAACAGTGTAATCGGTGTAGCTGGCGTCGGTGCTGCCGGAGTACAGCAAAATTGTGGACGCTGATTGCGCCAGCAATGTGCTGAGCTACTGCTCCCTTTGCCAAGGCAAAGGGTAAAGCTTAGACTTGACTAGGCTAGGTAGAAGAACTCTTGCTCTGGATAGAAATCCGCATTGTCTGGCTGTGTTCTTGCTTCAGTCAGTTTCGGGCTTGTGGCAACTTAGCATGGATGTGAACAATTTGAACATGGACAGCTATACAGCAAAAAACTACCCGACAATTGTGGCTTTTCGCTATATTTTCGTGCGCTCGGAGATGTTCGACGGTTGTTGAGTTTGCCTTTCACCGTTTAAACCACCTTTCAGGGATTGTGCCATCTACTCTCAATCCACTATATTCCATGATGGATGATGGTGAGTGTTTGCCAACCCTGGACATGTCTACTTCCAGCAATGGGGGGGGTAGGAGCAAGAAGCTACTAGGAGCAAAGGGCATCGCTACTAGGAGCAAGGACGCTACTAGTGGCCTTACTACTAGGAGCAAGAACGTCAACATGTTCAGATGTTTTTCGCCAACGTTTGTCTCATGTGTTCCCACACCGCAGCTCAAGCCACGGCAGAATTCAAGCCACTTGGTACAGGCACCGGAAATCTGAACAAAGAGAAATTGGAACTGTCCTGACTTCTTGTACGTGGATCCTGTGTGTTTGCTATCGCAAACAATGAACATGTTTCTAGTGCCAGTTCTTGCAAAAATCTAAAGTCGTAAACAACTGACCAAAAATCAAACTCCTATATTATAGGGGGGAGTCAACCCCACCAGATTCGGCAAATAATCAAGGGTCTGTCACTTTAAGGTGTGGCATTCGAGTTCGTGGAACTGCCAACGGACTCGAAGGGACCGCATCGCGACTTGCCCGGAGAGTTGTTCCGTATCCCGCCCTGCGTTCTTTTTGGGGATAACACGCTGCCGTCCAAACCAAATATGGAGCTATAACTTATTGCACCCCACACTTCTGGTGAGGATTTGCCAACGTGACCAGAACACCACCCGAACACCAGGTCGGACTAGAGAAAAAACTAGCGGTGAAGCAGTTCAACGTACCAATGGGTTGAGTGTCCGAGACGTGGGGAGAGGCTCCTGAAAGCTGATGTAGCCGCTGGCGTCATTGTCGACCTCTCGAGCAATGATTTGAACTCGCTCATAGCTGATCTTGTAGCCCAGGTACCTCACCACTCACAGCATCTCACAGCTCGGAGTTCGCAAGTGTTCATCTCAAATCCCTTCGACTGGCCTCTTTCACGCAAGGCCATCAAATTACAGCGTGAACGTCAACATGTTACGGGACATTGTGAACAAAATGACACAATGAGAGCAACACTCAACGAACAATTTCGACATCTATGAGAGATTCAGATTGGATCATTTTTTGGGGCACTGGACAACCCGCCAAACGTCCTCCACTGGCATTTCTTGCTGCTCTGCGATGAGCTTTTTGGCGATGTCTTGCTGACTCCCGACACCTTAGGGCGAACGCGGAACTCTCCAACGGTGAAACATCGCTACTAGGAACAAGTGCCACGCTAGTAGTAACAGGTGCCTTACTAGTAGGAACAATGTTTGCTATTAGAAACACAAAGCTACTAGGAACAAGTGCCACGCTAGTAGTAACAGGTGCCTTACAAGCAGTTCCCGGGCAAGCCGGCGGCGGAAATTTCCTATAAGAACAAATTGACCTATAGGAGTGTCCACCTTCTCTCCAACATGCGTGTCCTCCAGTCAAACGCACGCGCTCCGGACTTTTGACCCACGGGATTTCACGTGTGTAAGTTGTGTGCCCCCCTGCAGGATCAGTGTGTATGATGAGTGGTGTATTGACCAGCAGTTGAATGTCCTGTCCTGCATAAATGCAACCAAATACTATCAGTATGAACTGTGCCAAACCTGCACGCCGCGAGAGATGACTCAGCAGCGAGAGATGACTGAGTTGCGAGAGATGACTCAGCCGCGAGAGATGGCTATAGCGAGAGCTGACTCAGCAGTGAGAGATGACTCAGTCGCGAGAGATGACTCCTCCGCGTACTACACTTGTACTACAAGGTGGCCACTTCTTAGCTTCCAGCTCCACAGGTTGTTCCGCGTGCTAAAGTTGTACTAGAAAGTCGCCAGTCAGTTCTCATCTTCCAGCTCTACAGATTGCTCCGCGTACTGCAGTTGTACTACACAGTCGCCAGTTCTCAGCTTCTAGCTGCACAGATTGCTCCGCGGACTAAAGTTGTACTACAAAGTCGCCAGTTCTCAGCTTCCAGCTCTACAGATTGCTCCGCGTAC